TCTAATTTTAGTATAGGGTTTTTAGAGGCCTGCTTTTTCAGAAGTGGATGGCCAATCCTTCTTTCTAGTCTGTCTTAATCTGAATGTTCAGATTTAGAGAAGTATCAGACAGACCAGCAAATTAAAAGTATATCCCTTATTGTGGAGTTAACCATTAGTGTCAGTGTTGTCCCTGCCTTTGGCACACGTGTCTTTATCCACTTATTTCCCTGCTCCACCATCCACCAGGATACCCATCCGCTTCTACCCACTCCCTTCACATCTATCTCCCATTGACCAGTCCTTGATCTAATAGCTTATATATGAAGCATCCTTGGCTTCTGTGATTCCAAACACTTCGGCTTCTGGTAGTTTCTTATGTTGGAACCAATGTCTCTGAAGTTTAGTGGTAATGTTTCCCGAGCGAAGGCGATGTGTCCTGCAGAACTGTCCTGCAGATAGGTTTTTCTTAACCCGAGGAACAAATGCCGTGCGGTTTTGGCGTCTTCAATGTTACCTGAGAAAATGGGCGGGAAGTTCTATGGACCCTTTAGCTGTCCACCTTCCCTGCCAGGCAGGCTTCTGTATGCCCCCTCTGTGTGGCCTGAGGAACGAATGCCGCGCGGTTTTGGCATCTGCGTTATGCAGATGACACAACCCTGCTTGTTGAAACTGAGGAGGACCTGAAGCACCCGCTGCAGAGGGTCAAGGACTGCAGCCTCCAATATGGATTGAGGCTCAATGTCAAGAAGACAAAGATTCTCACCACTGGACCAATTGGCAGCATCAGGATGGATGGTGAAGAGATTGAGATTGTACACAGCTTTAGTTTGCTTGGCTCCACAGTCAACACTCTTGGCACCAGTAGCCAGGAAATTAAAAGGCGCATTGCCATGGGAAAGTCTGCTGTTAGGGACCTTTTCAAAGTTCTGAAGAGCAATGGTGTCTTTCTGGAGACTAAGGTGCATCTGATACAGACCATGGTCTTTACAATCAATTGTTATGCATCAGAGAGTTAGACAATGACTAGGGAGGATAGAAGGAGAACTGATGTCTTTGAGCTGTGGTGCTGGAGAAGAGTATTGAGGGTACCATAGACTGCCAAGAAAACAAACAGATTCATCCTAGAGAGGGTTAAACCAGGCTGCTCCTTGGAGGCAAAGATTCTGAGGCTCTGTCTGACATACTTTGGACATGTTGTAAGGAGGTCCTTGGAGAGGGACATCATGCTTGGGAGGGTGGAGGGACAACGCAGGAGGGGAAGGCCCTCTATGAGGTGGATTGATTCAGTGACTGGGATAATCGGGATGGGAGTGTCAGAGACAGTGCGACTGGCACAGGACAGAGCAGAGTTTAGGGCCATTGTACATAGGGTCGCTATGAATCGCAGGCGACTCGATGACACATAACAACAACAACAACAATTTTAGTATATTTTAAAATATTTAGGGTTTTTTTGGTTTTTTTTAGTATATACTTCTGAATTACGCCTCCCTCATGTAAAGTCGGAACATTTTCACCATCTCAAACATGAACCCCTATCTTTTAGCATTTACTGTCCACTTCTCTCCAGCATGGACCACAACAAACAGCACAGGAAGAGACCTCCCATCCTTCTCCTGCGGAGCAACTGGCGGATTTGAACCACCTGCCTTTGCGATGGACACACAGCTTCTTACAACTAGGCCACCAGAGCTCCCTACCCCTGTCCTAGGCAACCACTAATCTGATTTCCCTATTCCGGGCTTCCATGTAAATGCAATCATATAATACACGGTCTCTCGGGATCAGTTTATTTTAGTTAACATGACAGTGTTCAGGGTTCTTCCACCCTGGAACACTAGTAGTTTATAATAGTTGAGCAATATTCCACTGTGGGAGTGAGCTGCATTTTTATTTCTTGACCCATTTGCAAGTGGACATATATATGGATTGTTTCTACTTTTCAGTTATGGTGAACAATGCTTTTAAAAACATTTGAGCCATGGTTATTTAAAAACATTTAACCCATGGTTATCGCAGCTTTGTTCACAACAGCAAAGAGCTGGAAAACAACCCAAGTGCTCATCAACAAACGAATGGATAGAGAAGCTGTGGTATATTCACACAATGGAATACTACGCTACATTGAAAAACAAGGAACTCATGAACTATTATACAAAATAGGTGACCCTGGAGGACATTATGCTGGGTGAGATATCTCAGTCACAAAAAGATAAATACTGTATAATGTCACTGTTATAAAAGAGGACTGACATAAGGGTGGGGGGAGACTGTGAAAGAGGGGTAAGTAATGTATACTGCATTGAAACAGATGAGGGAGAGAACTGTTTAAAAGGGATATATGATCAGGTATTATTGTCATGACAGGAGTCCAGAATGAAGGCTGCACAGTGGAGTGGACTTGGGGGGGAGGGATTGTATAACAACGAAAGAATTTTTCTTTTCCTTTTCAAAGAGAAGAGTGAATTGGGGGGTGGGGTGGAAAGGCAGAAAAGTGCAACAATGAATAAATGGAAATCCAAAGTCTCTGTAAACTTTCATTAAAATGAATAAAAACAACAACAACAAAAAACCAACACCCCAACCAAAACCCCCAACATTTGAATAATGCTGCTATGACTGTCAAGCATCTGAACAGTGACATAGTTTTTGTGTGGACATAAGGACTGGATGGGGCTTTGGGGTCTGAACCCTCAAACAGGTTCACAAATGCTGAGTATATGTACTTTTCACGTGTAAAGGTGCAGAGGGCTCAGGAGACCAAAAAGAGGCCCCCACCCCGGTCAGTTAGCACGAGTTCCTTATCGGCCTTTGAATCCTATGCAATCTCGCCTGCTTTACACGCAGGCCTCTGAGTCACTCACCTGGGGCTTGGTGTCCGTGTTCTCCCTCCTGCTCTGCACCTCATCCAGGGGACCTAGCCCTCTGTAACTGTGTCCTTGCTAATCTGTAAGCTGGAGGCAAGAATCATACATCCTATTACACAGACCTCCTGTGATGCTTAAGGAGGTGGTGCTGATAACAGTGTCAGGCAGAACACTTGGCTCAGTAACTCCGGGGTGTAATATGTTTATGACCTGGCCAAGGCGAACCCCCTCTCCCCTCCAAAAATATCTAAAGGTTTCATTCCGACACCTTTGTTTCTAGCCCTTCTCAGAATTCCTGAATCAGAACCGTCTTCCTTGGCATGTCTCATGCGCTCCTTCTATAACCACTTTGCACACCAATGGCTTGAACTCAAGTCTTCTCGCCTTCCTTGGTCTGTCTCCACAGCACACAGCACAAAGAAGGACAGACAGCCCGAGGGCCGGTTCTCCTCCCAGGAGCTCAACAACACAGGCCTTTGTGCGCCCATCTGTTCATCTAGAACATTCGGACACTCAAGCCCCTGAAGAGGTAGGATGGTGAATACTCCGGGCACGTTATCTGCTGGTCCCCCCAAAAAAATCACCAGCCAGAAGTGAAATGGAGATGCCGGCCCAAGTACAATGAAGTGTCGCATCCCTAAATCTAGGTGGGACAAAAAGGAGGACCTGACCAACTCTGTCCTGGGCTGAGGCCCTGCCGGTAGCGGCTACCAAGTAGCACAGCAACCCCATGAATAACTGAACGAACTGCAGCCCAGGCTGGGCCATCCCCATGGTCCATCAGGTCAGAGCAGTGCGACCCAGGGCTTTCTGGAAGGCCTTTGACCAGCTCTCCCAGTCGGGGTTAAACTGCAGAAACCAGCTCAGCCTCGTAGTAGCACGCAAGCCGTCACTGACAGACAGGTGGTGACTGTGAAGGGAATCAATCAGATGGACCGAACCGGAGTGTCTCTCATGGAACCTGAGAAGTCTACCATTGGCTCACCCCTGCGTATTGAGCATCTGAGGAGGTTTTTCAGAGGAGTTAATGCCAGTTTTTACAGATAAGTACGTCATGGGAAGTTGGGGACGGGAGGGAAGGAAAGAATAAAGAAATGAAAAGAGGCTGATGTGTCGTATTGGAACCGACTCATAGCTGACCGTCAAACAGGTTTTCAGAAGCAGTAGAATGAACAAGAGAAGGTGGCTCAGCTTTTCCCCCAATTGTTGGTGGATTTGAACTATGTACCTTTGGGTTGGCAGCGCAAATTCTTACCCACTAAGCCACCAAAGTTCAATAGAAGACAAAGGGGTCAGAATGGGAGGAGTCAAAGGGATAAGGGCAAGCTCACTGGCTGGAAGGTGCTCACTTTTCTCCCACAGGGCGGCTGGGGGATTCGAACCATGTGCCTTTGGCATGCTCGCTGGCTGGAGCAGGGAGATCTCAGGGAGGAATCTGTTTGGATGTTTGGCTCTAATGAGTCTAGATTTCCCATTCTGGTCACAGAAAGGGAGGTGGCAGAAAAGAAAGTTGACAAAATGTAGGAGAAATTATGAGTAGACTCCTGGCCATGGAGGAAGAGGTGGGGAGGGGATTCGAGCTCAGACTTCCTCCTAGGGGCCACCAGGCAGGAAATGAGGGTGGAGGCAGAGAGATAAGTCTGACAGGAAGCTGAGGGAACAAAGGAGTTAGACCTGATAGCGGTCAAGTTACACCTGACAGCAGGATGAAGGCCTCTGCAAGAGAGGGCGGGTGGTACTTGAAGGGTGAAGGTCACAAAGGGCACAGGAGAAAGGAGAAAGGGAGACCGAGGTGGGGCATCCTGAGGCTGAAGACAGAGAGGGCCTGGTCCTGAGGGGACACCAGAGATGCCCTCCCACTGGGGCTTCTGGGTAAGGTGGGGCCTCCGGAGGCTGAAGACATTGAGGGCCTGGTCCCCCTCCCACCGCACTCAGTCAATGCTGAGCTGGAAGATCATCATTTACTACAGGAGGTTGCCAAACAGGGCCAGTAGTGGGACTTGTAAGCACGTCACCAAATCCCCACAGATCTGTAATCAACTTCTGGTCAATGGGCCGACTAACACAGTCTCTCTTTTGGATTATTTCTCAGACACTAAAATCTCAGATGTTTGGGGCATCAATTCAAACACTTTCCACGCAAACTCTTACCTTGGTCCAGCCAGGAAACTGGATGAAAGTGTCCTGGGGCAGGTCGGGGATGTCGGTGGGAATGGAGAAGTTTCCCACGTGAAAGGCTGGGAGAGTGAAGTTCAATGGACTGTGAGGCCTTTTGTCACCACTCTTACGGCAGCATCTGTTGCCATGGTCACTCCTGCCCCCCAGGTGGCTGCGCACAGCGTCCTCCGTGTTCAGGGGAAAGATGAGCCAGTCTGTGAGGACACGGTTGTGGAGGGTCACGTTAGAAATCAAACCCTGCAGAGGAGGAGAGACAGAATGTAGTAAGCTGGGGCTAGGAAGGAAAAGCAAAGGGGACACACACCACCAACTGCCATGGATTGAACTGTGGTCCTCCAAAAGCACGAATGTGATGACAGTGTGAGGGGCTCTGGTGGCTTAGTGGTAAGTAGTTGTGCTGCTAATCCAAAGGCTGGGGGTTTGAATCCACGAGAGGGAGATGGGAAGTCTCCTCCTGGGCCATGGACTGCCTCTGAAAACTCGCTGGAGGGTCAGCTAGGGGTTGTTCTGATTCAGGGATACACAACAACAACAACAAAGATATAACGCAAAAGCCATGTAACGATCTTCTGTGATACAACAAACCATACATGTCAAAGGCTGAAGGGTGGAATGCAAACCCCTCAATCCTGCCACAGCCCTGTTCAATGAAAGGGAGGTTCCCCCAGGGTGTGAGCTGGAACATCTTCTTTTTTTTTTTTAAAATTTTTTTTGGAACATCTTCTACGTCACAGGAGATTAAAGGAGAGGAAAAGGAACCAAGAGAGGAGGGAGGATCTCAGCACCATCAAGAAAGAATCGCCAGGAGTGGAGCATGTCCCTTCGTATTCAAGCTTCCACATAAGGAATCTCCTTGGCACTGGGAAGGCCAAGACATAAGGAACTCTCTAAGGAACACAGAGCCTACAGATGCCGAAGGAAACAAAGACCTCCCTTCACAGTGGGCAGAAAGACAGGTCCTCCTCCCAAGCTGGCACCCTGAACTTGCACTTCTAGCCTCTGAAACTAGGAGAATACATTTCTGTTTGTTATAGTCATCCAGCTAGATAATGAAGAAAGCAATCATGAATGAGACTCAAACACTGCACATGTTAAAGAAACCGTTCCGGCTTGTAGTCTGAATTGTACCTTCTTGGATGGAGACACCCACAACCTTCACCTCCAGTAGAGGCCAGGATATCCCCATAAAAGCCCCTAAGGTCTGCCCCTACAGAAAGGGGGTGAGTCACACTAGCTTTTTCTTCCTCTAAAATATTAAGATTGATTTATTTATCTCGGGACTGTAGTCCAGAATGGGGTTATAACTGCAACGTTCTCCTCATCTGGACTGGGTGGTAGGTTATCCTGTCTGCTGGGGTCTCTTCGTCTAGGTCACATGGTCTCACCTTCCAGGAGGATGGACTGGGGTCTCTCCCATGGAGACAACAGTGAGGGAAGCTTTCTGAGGCCTGAAACTGCAAATGGTCATCTGTCCCACCTTCTGTTGACAGAGCAAATCACAATGGCCTCTGACTTCTAAAGTTTGTTTTAAAGCCGTTGTTAACGGGGAAGTTGTTGTTATGTGATATTGAGTTAGAATCTACTCATAGCAAACCCTCCAACAAGTGGAATCTGAGATGGGAATGGAGAAGATATCCAAAAACCACTGTCTCTTTACAAATAAGTTGTTGTTGTTATGTGCCATTGAGTCGCCTGCGACCCTATGTACAACAGCCCTAAACTCCGCTCTGTCTTGTGCCAATCTCACTGTCTCTGACACTCCCATCCCAATTATCCCAGTCACTGAATCAACTCTGCCCTTCACATGTAAGTGGGATCAAGTGTTGACCTTGAATTCATCTCCTGGATCCACCTGTTGGGAGGAATTAAACTGATAACTTAAAGATTATACTCTGATATCTGAAAGGGGGCAAAGGGCAGTGATTAGGAGGAGGTGAGCCTCCAGCCTGCACTCTGAAAGGGTTGCTTTTGTCCTGGGCTGCTGGGCTAACGGTGGCCACAGCACTGAACGATGCCTGTGCTTACAGCTCAGCTTACTCCACTCACCTGGCCTTCCCCACCGGAACATCTCCATTCCCGGACTGGCCTCAGAATGCCCATTAAATAATCATTACTCAGAGAACATTGGCCAGGCAGCCACATGCTACGCTTCCTGTGTACTGGGGACTCAGGGACTACACCACCAGTCCCAGTCCCTCCAGGGGTGGAGTGGCCTGTGAGGAAGGCAGTGGCCCACTAATGAGAATGTTGGCAAAAGTGCTGTAACTGGAAAATTTATCCAAGGGGCAAAGGCAGCCCCCAAAGTGTATCTCCTAAATGTGTGATTGCCTTGCATCTGAGCTGCCAGCAAAAACATCATGAAATATCCCAGGTACCTGCTGGTCCTAGACAGACTGGCCCTCCTGTCCCCTCAGTGTGGACCTCCCTTACAGCAGAGGGTGAGCCTGTATCTCAAATCCTTGGCATACCATGATGTACCCCACGTAGCATCGCATACACAGAGTAAGTAGAACAAATAAATGTCTGTAGAATAAGGCTCTAAAAATTGTTTATGTTGTTGTTAGGTGCAGTCAAGTTAGCACTGCCTCCAGCAACACTGTCAACAAAGGAACGAAACCTTGCCCAGGCCCATGTCATTTTTAGACTCACTGCTGTGGTCAATCTCATTGTTGGAATCACTGTCATACATGAACTAGACACCTGGGCACAGAGTTGTCAACAGAGGTGAGAGGCAAAGACTTTGAGAAATTCAAGAGTTTGTCGCGGACCAGATCCTAAGGTGGTCTCATCAGCAAGGCCATGTCTTCTGTGAGCTTGGTGGCTTTCTCGAGCAGAGGAAGAGCCCAGGAGTGATTTCCTCCTTCCTTCTTCCTGAAGGGTGACTGAGCTCAAACACTAGAGGAGTGTTCCATTCAGAGAGCCCAACTTTCTTATCACCAGCAGAGGAAAAGAGGTCTTCAAAGTAGCTCAACAGTGAAATGGCAAAACAAGTCAGAACAGGTTACTCGTCAAATGTGGCAAAGCTGGTGTGGTTTTAAAAATAGCTTCGGTGTGAACAGGGGTAAGAGGGGGAAATGGATTTGTGAGTTTTCAAATGAACATGCAAAAGCTCCCTCGGACTGCCAAGGCACTGTCCCATCAACCCTTGAACCGCATGTCTCGGTGTGCGGAGATGGTGGGAGTTATGGGGCTCAGAGGGATCTGCTCTCACATCACCCGTTCACAATTCACATCACCAGTTCACCACTCGCCCCGGGCCAAGCCATCTTCCCTCTCTGAGGCTCAGCTTTGACCCCTGTCAAATGAGAGCAGCAACACTTCCCTTGCAGGTATGTTGCTGTTAGATGCCCACAGGTTAAATACACCTCATAGCAACCCTGTGAACAATAGACCTGAATCCTGTCCTGTCATGCACCATGCTCACCATCTCTGACCCACCTGAGTTCACTGCCACAGTCACCATGTCAGTCCATCTGGGTGAAGTTCTTCCCCTCTTTTCACTAACCCCATCTTTTCCAAGCATGATGTCCTATTCTAATGAATTGCCTCTCTTAGGCAACATGTCCAAAGTATGAGAGACGAAGGAGTAATGGAGAATTGAACAAGAAGGTAGCAAATAATTTGAAAGCAAATATTATTTGAAAGCAAATAATAAATGACGGTGGTGGTGTTATCTGACGTCAACTCAATTCCGACTCACAGCAGGTAGAGCTGCTCCTGGAGCTCTCAGGGCTGCCACTCTCAGGAAGGAGACCGCCAGGCCGCTCTCTCACATCACCCCTGGGCGGATTCAAACTGTCGCACTTCATTTGTGCCATTCATGAACTCTAGTCAGTAAAGGATAACTCTTCAAAGTAAACACCATGTGGCTGTTGTTGGGTGCCATTGAGGCAACCGTGACGCACAGCTACCCCGCACACAGCAGGCCTGGAGAGCGGCCTCGCCTGTGTTCTTCTCACGCTCTGCAGACTTGTGAGCCCGTGTTACGGTCTCTGTGTCAGTCCACCTCATTAAAGGTCTTCCTCTCGTTCTCTGACTCTCTGCCTTTCCCAGCCTGAGGTCATTTCCCAAGGACTGGTCTCTCCTGACCACATGCTCCAAGTACGAGCGACAGAGTTTCACCATCCTTGTTTTTCCACAAAGAACCAAAGAAGCAAATGAGGGGAGGTGTCCTCGGGCTGGTATACTGGAAAGGTGGGGTTCCTGGGGGGAGGCCACGCGCTACACCTGGTAGTGTGGTGCCCATCACAGTTCTAACATAAAGTTTGGCAGTTTGAGTCCAGCTGCTCCTCAGGAGAAAGACGGGCAGTCTCCTTCCATAAAGACTTACAGCCTCTGAAACCCAAGAAAGAGTCACCATGAGTCGGAACCAACCTGACGGCCATGAACTTGGTTGACGATCTACCTTAGCTATTTCAGGATGGTTTGATACCCCTCTCCTGGTGCATGTATTGCATTCATAATTACGTGAAACAGTTACCTCTGTTTTGGAAAAACACAATCACATGATGACATGAATGTTCCACCTTTTGTCTCAACTAAAAGAATAATTCAGATATCAAACTCTGATAATGCCTGCTTCTGCCTGCATAAGATGCGGAGTCCAGCAATATCTGGAGGGACCTCTGAGGCAAGAGACAGTTTGATACTCATGGGCTATGTCTGGCCCATGACTTTCTGGCATTCAGAATTTCTCCAGAATCCCTACAGTTTTTACAATTGTCTCCTATAACCAAGACTAGCTCGCAGGGGTGAGGGGCCCTTGAGGGGGCGTGATAGGGTAATAGTGTTTTCATTCTAATTAACTTCGGGAGGAGGAAGTATACTCATTCTCTTTCCATGATCTTGGCTTTTAACTTTGGTCTTTTGTACAAAGATTTGGGAAAAAAAAAACCCCAAAAATGCAACTAATCCACCATAAAAAAAAAAAAGAACGACAATTCAGAAAATATAGCAAAGACTCTGATAGAGCACAGTGACTATGGCCCTCTTTAGTCGATACTGCCTGAGAATAAAGAACGAGGAATGTGTGTACTTTTTCTTTTAAATGTGTGCACTTTTATGGACTACACCACGGTGGGTTTCCGGGGGGTGGGAGGTGCAGAGTCAAAGTCCTCGCGGCTCTGTGCATCAGTCAGTCCCTCGGGTTGTGCACACATGGCCTAAACTGACCTAAACGTAGTCCTGCAGTATAACCTCTACCAATGAAGACACAGAGATGGACACAGGGGATTGACACTGTGACTGCACAACAGGCTAGGGCATGGTGACAGGGATGAGGAAGGCACAGGACAGGCGAAAGCTCTGGTCTGTTGTTCGCTGGGTCACTGACTTGCAACTTGCAAACAAGACCTGGATCCCAACTGGATTCTCAAGCGGGTCGCAAGGGTCGCAAACAACGTCTTCAGGGAAAACCAAAGTGAAAATGACAGAGGCCAACCCAATGACGCTGAGTGCCTAGCTGGGCCCTCCCGTCCTACCTTAAAGTCATTGTTATATCTGCCATAGTTCACACGCCCCATGTTCTCCACCAGCAGGTCCAGAGTGGCTCCAGCTACTCCTGTTATGTTCAGAGAGGTCTCCTTGCCTCGCTCAAGGATTCCCTGGGGGACCTGTAAGTTCAATGTCAAATAAAGATTGACCAGGTAAGAAGATGAGCAAATGAAGGCAGGACGTTCCATTTACCTACCACTCATTTTGCAGCTTCAAAGCCTCACTGGACATGGAAGGGGACCCTCTGCTGGCCCTTTAGCCTCAGAAGCCACAGGGCCAAGTTCCCTAAGTGCTGACTTCCTAACAGCATGATCTCCAGACACCTCTCAAAGGGAAGGATGAGCCAGGCTTCCTTCGCCCCTAGGATGTTGGGTTGCGTATCTATTTTTAATGGAAAGAAAATGGGGCAGGTTTCCAGGGAGGACTCCTGTTAGAGGAACTGTTCGTGTTCTCACCATGCTTCTAAGTCAGTCACACGAGAAACAGCTTCTAAACAACGTGGAGAGATGAGACAAAACCAGATAGAGGAGATAAGAATCAGAGAGTTCGCTGGAGTATTCTTATCTCAAAAGATGATAAAATGAATTAACCACAAAAATTATACAAAAGGACAAGGAAGGGGGAAAACAGGTATTTTATCAGCAACTTACTTCTTCATTTTTATATTCTTAAAAATTTAGTTTCTTAAAAAGCCTAGCTTTTTAAAAAATGGCAGTACATGACCAAATCCATGGGGGAAGAAATGTTCTCAAGAATTACAGTCATATAAAATGGTCCAAAAGTCACTAATCTGAACATTGAAACAAAACCCAATAAAAGCAGCAGTAGTAGAATATCAGGTGTTAGAAACCTGCCCCAAAATAAATGAAAAGCACTGATTACCACTGAATGGAAATTCTTAAAGTGTTCTGAACACATTTTCCTGGTTAGAAAAATCTCTTCACATGTTCTTTCTTTTTCTTTCTTTTTTTTTTTGTGTGTGTGTTTGTGTTCTTTGACATGAGAGGAATGGAAATCCTAAAAAGGACTTGGATTTTGTTACAAAATGAAGCTCTCTGTGTATTTTAGTTACAGGGATCATAAAACACCTTTCAGAATATACTTATGCATGGTGAAGACACACAGCTCAGAAAAATCAATGTTGTTTACAAAACTGAACTGCAAATAAGACCCTGCTCTCAAGGAGCCCACAGACCAATGAGGAAAGAAGACGTGGGTCAGATGGTCGGACCAGTTGGGGAAAGATGGCTTTAGGGCGCAATGAAAGTGTGAGGGAAGGTAGGCCTTGAGTACAGCCTTCTGTGGTGGAATGCTTGAAGAAGGACTCAAGACAGGTGGCAGCATGGAGGTGGCCACATCAGGAGCAAGGTGCCCAGGTAAGTAAGAAAAGGAGAGGTGGGGATTGTTATTGGAACGGTGGCCAAAGACTTCAAATCGCACATGACACCTCCACGCCCATCAGAGAAGAAACACACACTGTAGGCAATTCTTACCCCATTCACAGAGACATAGGCTCGGTCGTGGACTCCTCCAGTGGGTACAGAGAGGGGTGTCGGGCTGCTGCAATTTTCAGGAAGTGTTGTTCGGTACAACACAAACCCAAAATACTGGTAAAATAACGGTGGGAGAATTTTTTAAAACAAGATATCAGTCCAGCCATTCATTTTAAGAGAACCTGGTTACCCTTGAGTTGTGTGAAACCAGCAATACTTCTAAAACCAGGAGGAATGAGAAGCTTCCCCCACCCCAGCAAAAAATTCAATCTGAAAGAGGGGAACTGATTGAATCTATAGCTCACGGCAAATGTACCACAGCAGAAAATAACAGGAACACAGTCAACTTAGCACACAGCCCTTCTTCAGAAGAGGAAACAACCGTGGACTGACTCAGTGATTTGTCCAGGGTCACTCTGGGGAATCACGTCACATGTTTCAAAAGGTTAAAAAAACAAGATCAAATGGGAATTTACAGCTCAAGGAATACTGAGTTTCTTGTTTAAGGTAATAAAAGTTTAGAAATAAGCAAGCTCTGGTGATCTAGTGGCAAGAAGCTTCAACTGCAATCTCAGAGATGCACAGTTCGAATCCACTAGACGCTCTGCTGGAGAAGGAGGTACAATGTCCTCCTGTACCAGTCAGATCTGATTTGGCAGTACACACAAAAAATAATGAAATAAAATAATTTTTTTAAAAAAAGTTTAGAAATAGATGTAAGTAATGGTCTCACAACACTGTGAATGGATTAGTGACACTGAACCGTGTGGTTACATACATCTCCTTCCATCTTGCTGCTTCCAACTCACGGGGACCTTTCACTGGGTTTTAGAGGCTGTAAATCTCGACAGGAAGAGAATACTCATCTTGCTCTCACAGAGCAGCTGGTGAATTCAAACTGTTAACCTTACAGCTAGTGGCCTGGCAACGTAATACCACCAGGAATTTACGATCACTTGCAACAAACATGCCAGATGGGCTTGCCAGGGCTCGAAGTCCCCATCCAATCCATGGTCCCCATCTTAGTCAAGACTTTTGAGAAAGACCAACAGCAGCACGTGTGGCCACTACGTTAGCCTGGAATTCATTTCTGGACTTCCAGGTACTCAGGTGTCCATGTTTTATCTACAGAGCTCAATGGCCTGTTAGCTGGACTAGGCAGTTTCTTCTTTGAAGATGACACAGACATGCGGCCAGTGTGGGCTAGATCTGAGAAAACCCTACTTAATGTCAATGAAAAAGGTTTCGGGGGGAGGACTTAATTATCTACTTTTACGTACCACAAATCAGAGTTGCTGGAAGAAAATACATCAATGTGAAAATAGTAACTAGAGTCAAAATACACTACACTAAGATATGCTGTTATTATCTAACCATAAAATCAGAAAGGAGGGCACAGATAAACTTCCATTTCAAAAATGGGGCTGACTGAGACCCAGAGTCATTGAACTTTTTTTTTTTTTAAATCTCACTTATTTTGCTATTGCTATTGCTAAGAATATACACGGCAAATCATACAGCAATTCTACAATTTCGCATGGACAGCTGAGTGGCACCAATTATCATCTTTGAACTGTGCAAACAATCTCAAGCTGCTTCCCTGAGCTCTTCCTTCCTCCATCAATATTGACTTTTAAGCCTCTAATCTAATCTTTTAAGCTTATGTTGTCAATTTGATCTCATAGAAGTCTTTAAAGAAGCTCATGTTCAAGACTGTAATTTTGAATGAGTTGAGTTATTGTTTGGTTTTAAGATGACTTTAGGAGATAGTCTTTGTTCAAGAGTTAAGATCATCTCAGGGCAATCGTTTCTGGAGTTCATTCACCTTCTTGTGGCACCACAAGTCTAGAGCTGAGGGCGGAAGTGATCAAACTTGCCATCACCTTTATAAAGGGATGAACTGACCTCCTGGGTATCCTGCTTTTGTGCCCTAAACAAGATACTGCCACCTTTGTTATGTGTCAGGGCAAAATGTTTTACCTGAATCTAATCAGTGAGGGACAGCTACGTGCAACTGACCTAAATTCTTTAAAAAAAGTCTCGTCATGAAAGTGGTTGAAAAACAAACAGACCTGGGGTAAGTTTTAGATGAAATAATACGGAAGAGACATTATCATTAAACCGAAATGTGGTCATGGATTAGATGACGGATTAAAAAAAATTAAGCTATGAAGTACATTATTGGGAAAGCCAGGGAAATTTGAATGTAGTTTTATAGTTAAGAGATTGTATCAATGTTAACATTTTTGAAGGTGAGCGTTGCATTGTGCTTATGTAAGATTGATGTCCTTATTAAACATTACAGGTGAAGAAGTGTCATAATGCTGACAACTTTCTCAAAAGGTTCTAGTAAAAAAACATTAAAAAACAAAACAAAATAGGAGGTAATGGTTAGAGATGGAAATTTTAGAAAATAAAAACAACCCCAACCAATAAACCAAACCAAACTAACAGAATATAGTTTGTTCATGAAAAAGAATCTTCTAGGGACTCAAAGATCAAGAACATAGGGAGCTCTGGTGGTCTAGTGGCAAGAAGCTGCTCTGCAATCCCAGAGGTATGTGGTTCAAATCCACCAGATGCTCTGATGGAGAAGGAGGGGCAATCTCCTCCTGTACCAGTCAGATCTGATTTGACGGTACACACACACACAAAAAGAATAAAAAATTTAAAAGAAAAAAGATCAAGAACATAGTCTTTATATTTTGGTTTAACTCAGGACAAACAATTAGCTTGTGCATTTTGAGACTTCAAATGTTTTTTCATGAATACCTAATAATTTAGACTAGTTGGACCACTAACAATTTGTAACTGTTAAGGATTAGATTGAAGCGGATTGAACAACTTTCAGCTGAGCAGTGGTAAGACAGGAGGGGAAGATTTAGGGATGGTCACCCCACTGTGCATACCTAAAGCTAAAGAGAGCCCAGAAGCCCATGGTTAATTTCCCTGGGGCTTCATCTCCTTTTACCATTGTGGTCCTAGCACTGTGAACAGACACAGAAGTGCCGAAAGCACGGTTTTGCATGTGCAATCAAGGTGGAGCTTTACCTTTGTAGGCCTACCTGTTTCACTTTGACAAATGTCAAGGGATAAAGGCTTTTCACAGGCCCAGCGGGGGACAGGACATCCAGAGCCTCTCCCACTGTCTTCAACTGCAAAGAAACAAAAGCAGCATTCAGTTCTTCTCACCTCTCCCCAGAAATGTGAGCAAAGGACAAGATCACTGTCCAAGTTACCAAGAACACTGGTGGAGCCGATTAAACCTTGCACTCCCCCCGCCTCAAAACCAGTTCTGGAAGTTCTACTCAATGTTCCTTCCCTGTCACTTGCAGTCCTCGCCAGTCTCTTCCTAACTCATGGTGGGAAAATAAAAATGACTGTCACCTTGAAAGTGTTTCAAATGTACCTGATCCGAAACACAACCTGCTCAGAGATGCATAAATCAAAACCACAAAACAAACAAAAGGAGCAACCCTGTTGACCTAGTGGATGTCCCAGTAGAACCGAACGTCGCAGGCTTTCTGATGGCTAATTTCAGAAGCACGTTGTCATATCTCTGTGTAGACACAGCTCTGGGTGAACTTGAGCTTCCAACCTTCAGGATGGTAGCACAGTGTTTAACTGTGCTACTTAGGTACTTAAAAATGGATAAAAACCAAGGCTTAGAGGCAACCTTCTCTATAACATTCCCAAATGAATTAACTGTAGCTATGCCCTCTTTGAACTTGGCCAGGGCAGATTTCCATGCTAGTCTCACTGACTCCAACACACCTACCCTCATTACCCCAGTTACTATATCAATCCATCTCATCCATGGTCTTCTTCTCCTGCACTGTCTTTCCACCCTTCTGAGCGTGATGTCCTTCTCCAAGGATTGGTACCTCCTGGCCACGTGCCCAAAGTATGTGAGATGGATCTTAAAAATCCTACCCTCCAAGGATTTTTCTCCAAGGAGAAACTTGATTTCACCCTCTCCAAGATAGACCTATTTGTTTTCTTGGCAGTCCATGGTATGTTCAAGACTCTTCTCCAGCACCACAACTCAAGGAATCGATTCTTCTTCTGTCATCCTTAGTCATTGTCCAGCTTTCTGATACCTAGCAAGTAATTGTGAAGATCATGGCCTGGATCAAGCACACCTTAGTCTCTACACTCTGGAGAGGTCCCTGACAGCAGATTTTCCCAATGCAATTCTTCTTTTGATTTCCTGACTGCTGGTGCCAAGAGTGTTGATTGTGGAGCCAAGCAAGTTGTAATTGTGAACAACCTCAATCTCTTCTCCATCTATCATGGTGCTGCCAATTGGCCCAGTGGTAAGAATCTTTGTCTTCTTGATGTTGAGCTTCAATCCATATTGAAGACCACAGTACTTGACCTTCTGCAGCAAGTGCTTCAGGCCCTCCTCAGTTTCAGCAAGCTCACTAGAAATCTTATAAACATTTTCTGTGGTTACTCTGCTGCTGTGGAGCATAGGAGAAAAAACCTCACACACAGCTCCATCCAGTCAGGTACACATGAGGGTGTTTTCAAGCTTTTAGTCTGTATCTAAATAAATTTCATTTCATCATATGCCAACTTACTATCTTAAGTTATATGTATTTCATTTATAAAGAAAAGGAAATGCATTTAACACAATTATCCTGTATGGTGAGTAGATTGTTGTCTCAGTACTAAATTAGCTTTTTCTCAGCATTGTCAATGTTTTAAACATTTGCAATTATTTTTCGGTACATAAGAATAAATTTCCCACTGCTTTAAAACAAACAAACAAACAAACCTTTGCCCCAAGTAGTACCAGCAATGAATGAGTAGAAGGTATTCCCTTCACAACAATGATTAAAGTTTGATTAACAAAAAGGTAGATCCCTACCAGGCAGAGACCACGTTCTTTGCAGAACGTGTCTCATACATTCTGACATCGGGTGGAAAATGTTACAAGAGTCCCTCAAAGAGTTTTACCAGTGGAAAAAAAAATCATGCCAGCATGATTGCTGTTTTGCTTTAAGATAAAGACCTGTGATGCTATTTTTGGATATCAAGATTCTGAAGAAACAGGTAACTGCTGAGTTGTTTTGTTTTGTTTTGTTTTTGTCTTCTCTTCTGAGTTAAAACATGGAGGAAGAAGGTAGGGATTCTAAAAGGGGAAAACCTGAAGACAGAGATGGTCAAAACAAACGGATGCCAGCTTACGTCACTGCTTGGCCCCTAAATCCTCGTGTTCTTTTTCTCCTTCCCTAGAATACGCTGCCCTTAACTCTTCTTCCGAATTCTAGCTTTCTTCCCTTGGTGCTGAGGAGTGACTGAGTTTGATGTGACAAGTGCGGGGATTTATGGTGTCCACCTTTCCTCCACAGAGCTCCTCCTGTCCACGTAAGAGCCTTCCTACTGTTTCATACCCATTTTCATGATAGAATAATATCTGATAATTGTTGTTGTTGTTGTTAAGTGCCATCAAGTCGCAGGCGACTCATAGCGACCCTATGAAGAGAGTCCTTGACGCTTGGGTGACTTTCATCCTCTCTCCAAGTTCATAGTGTTTCTGGAGGCAAGCTATTACGGAAGTGGATGCCAGTCCTCCTTCCAAATCTGATAGCTAGAGCTGTGAATTACTTAATGATATCGTGGATCATAAGATTGATGACAACAACATTGTTTTGTAAAATGTTTCTACACTGCATTGTTACGTGCTGTCAGGTTGATTCCGATTCACAGCAACCATAATAGGTCTGAAACCTGCCCTATCTTGACCCAATATCAACATTACTAGTTACAATATTATTAATAACTAAGGAGAAGATTTTGTCTCCATTTTCTTTAATAACCATCCTATCTCCAGAAAAGTCATTAGGTTTACAAATACCAGTTAGCACAATATTGGAGCTATAACGTTAGAAAATTTGACAAAACCAGCAACTCTAAAAACACTAATAGCAATGGGAACAACAGTGTACTTACAGGGAGTGCATCTGAAGAATGGTTGGAATTGGATAATAATCTCAGGTCTGATCGGAGGGCATGAGAAGGTTCAAAAAGCACATTACTACAGAGTTTTAGCCTTGTGGTATATTGATACACAAAAGCTGGGCTTAGGAAAAATTTGCTGTTATTGTTATAACTACAGGGATTTTGAAAAAAAAACCCAAACAACAAACCCAAATATTTCTACTGAAACACAATACAAAAAATTTATAGGCTGTTATTTTTGTGTTATCCCCAGATGGTGTTCCATTTCCCATCCAGACAATAACGACCCACTGCCAGTGAGTAGGTTCTGACTCATAGCAACTCTCCATTGGGTTTGAGCCTGTAAACCTTTACAGGGCTCTGTTAGACTAGTGGTAAGGAGTTGAACTGCAAATCCAAAGGCAGGTTGTTCAATTTCATCAGCTGCTCCAAAGGAGAAAATTGGATAAACACCTCCACACAACTTGCAGCCTCTTAAACCCACAGGAGGGCAACTATGAGTGGATTTCATTTCAACAGCAGTGAGATGGAATCATTATGAGAGTGAAATCTTTGTGGGAGGAAACTGTCCATCTTTCTCCTACAGAGCAACTAGTGGATTAGAACTGCTGACCATTCTATTAGTAGTTCAATAAGTAACGCACTATGCCATTAGGGCTCCTTAGAGAACCATAAAAATGACTAGGTAGTCTGGAGATGGTTGTTGTCACTGTTAGGTGCCATCAAGTTGAGTATGACTCCTAGTGACCCTATGAACAGACCTGAACGCTGTGCTGTGCTGTCCCATCCTTGTCATCTCGGACACACTTGAGACCATCGCTGCAGTCACTGTGCCAAACCGCCCCACTGAGGGTCTTTCTCTCACTGACCCTCTACCTTTAGGGTAGATATCTAACAAAGTGGCAATGGCTTTTGGGAATCACTTAGGAAGAAAGTTAATTATGAAAAAGAAAGTCACGAGGAGTATAACGTTCCTCCAAGGTGACTAGCACACTTTGGACAACTGAAAATCGAAACAAAATGGCCTTGGTGATTTCAGGATGCTTCCAAACACCCTTATCTCCTCCAGTTCAAATCCCACTCCCGTCACTACGGGCACAGAATCTCTCTCCCCCACTGACCTGCTTCTTCAGAAACAGCCCCCTACTCTCTCAGTGACCCAGAAATGAAATTCGAAGAAAAAGAATCAACTGACTCCCCAGCAGAGCACTTTCACTCTCTGCCACTAAACTCCACTTCCTCACTCCCATCACCCTTACTTATCTCAATGTTTCTGGTTTTGGGGTTTCTTTCTTACCTTTCTCAGAGTAACTTTTCCATATGCAAACTTTGGTGTGGATGGAGGGATAAGGCCCTCTGGTACTTTCTCAAACTATAAACCAGAATGGAAAAAACAGAGACAGGAAAAAAAAAGCTGTTATACTCTCAGAAACATGTGCATGAAATTCGTTTTTCAAAAGGAGGTCTCAAGAAAATAAAGACAGCAGTGTGAGCGATCTTTGGAAAGGCAAAGAAACAAAGGGATTTCTTTAAAAAAGGGGGGGGGTTGGATTTTTGTTTGTTTCTTTGCTTGTTTGCTTGTTTTTACAATTCTAAGTCCCAGGATTCATTAAAATAATTTTACAACAAAAGACATCAAAACAGAAGCCCAGAAAACAAGCAGAGAGAATGAAGGTGGCAGCAGAAGACAGAAGCATGGGGAGAAAAGAAAAAAAGGTCGATGGCAGAACAAAAGCCAAAGGGTTTAGCTTCTAACAGAAGAGAAAGTGTATCAGGGCCAGATCCCTTTCAGAGTGGTCAACAGTCATCGTTGTTAGGTGGCACGTGGCGACCCTGTGAACAGCAGCCCCGAGCGCTGCCCTGTCCTGCCCTCCTCACCATTTCTGCTGTGCTGTGCCCACTGTTACAGTCATGTGCCAGCCCATCTCCTGGCATTTCTATCTTCCCTTCTAACTTCTTTGGAAGACCATTGTCTTTTAATTGTGGTGTTGGCAAAGCACACTGAATATGTCATAGACTGTCAAAGAACAAATAAATCTGAGTTGGAAAAGGAGCAACTGGGGTGGGGGTGGGGGTGCTCCTTTCTTTGGACAAGGATGGTGAAACCACAGTCACAATCAGGCACAAAACCAATGATTTTGAAAAGAAATGAAAAGACGGTTATGAAAGTAACAGGCTCCTGGCTCACTTTGCTCTTAGCTCTGTTCTTTGGAGGAAAATATTCGAAAATCATTGCATTATTTCTACCTCCACTTCTTCCACTCTCTAAACAATAGGACTTACCAGCTTAAACATTATCACTGATTTCTCAAATACATCGACATTTATTTTAGTCCTAGTGTTGAGATACTAGATACCTCTTCTTCCTACTGATACTGTTATGCCATCGTTTTTGGCTCCTCTACCATGGACTGCAAGGAGAACAAACAGGTTGAGACTAGAGAAGGTGAAATCAGGTTGCTCCTCGGAGGCAAAGATTCTGAAGCTCAGTCTGACATACTTTGGACATGTTGTCCTTGGAGAGGGATGTCATGCTTGGGAGGGTGGAGGGACAGTGCAGGAGAGGGAGGCCCTCAATTGATTCATTCACTGGGGTAATGTGGGTAGGTGTGTCAGAGACAATAAGGTTGACACAGGATAGAGCAGGGTTCAGAGCTGTTGTACATAGGATTGCTATGAGTCGAGAGCAACTGGAAGGCACATAACAACAACTAGTTATCTTTGTCATATAAATAATATATTTGTGCCATCAATTAAGACATTATCTTCCGTGTGCACACTTAAAGACAAGGTGATTAGCATCTTTCCCTAAGTTCTCCTCCCTACCTGAAACCATCAGGGAGCTCTGGTGGCCCAGGGGTAAAGAGCTGAGCTGCCAACACAAAGGCATGTGGTTCAAATCCACCAGCTGCTCTGAGCAAGAAGGATGAGCCATCTTCTCTCGTGCAGTTTACGGCCTCTGAAAACCCACTGGAGCGTCAGCCATGAGTTAGTTCTCACTTGTTGGTGCATAATCAGAACCTTATGTCTTCAGCTAAACAGTCTATCCTATCTCCGTAAGTCTCCTCAATCTGTACATTGAATTAACAGTCAGTCAACACAACAATAGCAAAATCCACTAGGCAGCAAACAGCAAATGCTGGCGTGGGTATAGAGACTGGAATGCTCATGGTCTCTCATGTTTTCTTATGTGGGAACATAAAATGGTGCAACCACTGTGGAAAGCAGTTTGGTACTTCCTAAGAAAGATAGAAATGTCATTTGATCCCACTGCTAGGAACATATTATAAAAAAAAATAGGGTTTGAGTTAAGGTTAGGGTTTAGGTTTAGGTTTAGGGTTTAGGGTTAGAGTTGTTGTTGTTGTTGTTATGTGCCGTTGAGTCACTTGCGACTCACAGTGACCCTATGTACAACAGCCCTAAACTCTGCTCTGTCCTGTGCCAATCACACTGTCTCTGACACTCCCATCCTGATTATCCCAGTCACTGAATCAATCCACCTCATAGAGGGCCTTCCCCTCCTGCACTGTCCCTCTACCCTCCCAAGCATGATGTCCTTCTCCAAGGACCGGTCCCTTCTTACAACATGTCCAAAGTATGTTAGCCGAAGCCCCAGAATCCTTGCCTCCAAGGAGCAGCCTGGTTTAATCCTCTCCAGGATGAATCTGTTTTCCTAGTAGTCCATGGTACCCTCAATACTCTTCTCCAGCACCACAGCTCAAAGGCATCAGTTCTCCTTCTATCCTCCTTAGTCACTGTCCAACTCTCTGATGCATAACAGGTGATGCAAAGACCATGGCCTGTATCAGACGCACCTTAGTCTCCAGAGAGACACCATTGCTTTTCAGTACTTTGGAGAGGTCCCTAACAGCAGACTTTGCCATCACAATACGTCTTTTAATTTCCTGGTTACTGGTGCCGAGAGTATTTACTGTGGAGTGTTAGAGTTAGGAAAAAAGAAAAAAAGAAAAAAAAATAAGAGCTATGACATGAATAGGTCCATGCACTTCCACGTTCAGTGCAGGATTATTTGTTACTGCAAAGAGATGGAACACCAAATGTCTTTCAAAGAATGGATGGCTAAAGAAAGTATAGTACACCCCCTAACAGAGGACAATGCACACTGTTGTCGTCGTCATGTACCATCAAGCCAGAACCAACTCACAGCTGACCCTCCAGTGGGTTTTCAGAGGCTTGGGAGGAGACTGCCCATCTTTCACTGGCAGAGCAGCTGGTGGATTTGAACCACTTACCTTTGGGTTGCCAGCACAACTCCGTACCACTAAGCCACCAGATCAGTACTAAAACCCAATAAAGAATTCACAAAACACACAGTGTGGCTGCATCTAGAGGACATTATGCTAAGTGAAGTCAGTCAAAGGACATAAATTGCGTAAGACCACAATCTATAAAAAGGTTTACACACAGATAGAATCATTCTTGGATGATTACCAGGGACAGAAAGGGGAGTGTAAATCAGTAAATAGGTAATACGTATATATTATGATGGGTGAAGGGAAAGGCAACAGCCACTAAGTAGATTATCAGCCCATTATCACTAAAGGAACAAGGGAGCACGGGTGGCCTAGTGCTAAGAAGCTGCGCTGCAATCACAGTATCACTAAAGGAAGGGACACAGAGAGGCATGGAAGGACTAATGGAAACCAGAATTACAGGGAGGAAGTGGGGAAACTGATTCCTTTGAGGGTATTGAGATGAATGGTACAGAACAAAATGTGTAAGAATGACTGAATGAAACAATAATTTGTTTTGTAAACCATCACTTAAATCCCAATAAAAGAATTTATAAAAATTTAAAAAATAATTAACAGTAAAAAAATAATTAATAGTGCTCACATTATACAATTATTGCTCTCTTCACAGTGAAGGGTATATATGAAGATGACATTTTTATCTTATCCAATTTTTTGCTGGAACTGACTCAGACCTGACCCTCTAGCAGGTTTACGGAGGCTGTAAAATGCACAGAAGGATGTGGTCCACCCTTTTCCTGCAGAGCCACTGGTGGATTCGAACAACCAGGGATGTGCCACCTCTGGGTTGGAAGCACAACTCTCTACACACGATGCAACTAGGGCTCCCTAATCAGTTATAATAAACCTCATGATCTTGAAGACTGTCTATAGACTGTCTATGAGTTCTGTGTGGCCATTGCAACAAGCCTGCCCTCTGGGCTTGATATCCTAGGCCTTCTGTCATTTTCCTCCTGGCTTGAACTCCTGCTTCTAGGATCTTCATTCCACTCAAGCACCTTCTCAGGTAAATACTGAAGAACTGACAGATAAGAGGTAAACCTCCTCAGTCTCTGGGTATCTGAAAACACCATGTATGGTTGATAAGCAGAATAGATATTCTATCTTGAAAAACATCTCCCCCTCAGGTCAAAACTATGAATCTCCTGTCTTCTATCACTCATCGTGACCCACGCCAACCTTACACTTGCTCATTTGAAGATGAGTGGTTTTTCCTCTCAAGCAGTTTATAAACTTTCTCTTTTCGATATCCTAAAATGTCAAAAGATATGTCTGAATATGTTTTGGGTTTTGCTGTTTTGTTTTGGTTTTTTTGCATTCATTATGATGAGAAACAGGCAGAACTTTTAATTTTGGAAAAATTCAGTGATCTTTCTATGACATTTATGTTCCTCCATTTCCTCCTTCTCAGTAAGAAGCTGAATGTTGAGATTGATATCTCTTTTCAAAAAATATTTAATTTTTTAGATTGATATCTCAAATCTTCTCTCTGTTATTATCTCTGTGGAAAAAAGATGGGCCAGTGAGTGACTGTTGTCTCCATCTTTAAGTTCTTCATTCTAGCAGATTAATTAATTAATTAATTTCTAAGAACCTCTCTAGTGGTTCCTTTTTTCAAAGTATCTTTTTCTTCCTTTATAGACATAATATTTTCTTTAATACCTCTAAAGGAAATATACACTTATTTTTTTAGGAGTTGTTGTTGTACGCTGTCAAGTCGAAACGGACTCATGCTGACCCCTGCAAAGGGTTTTCAAAGTCTCTAAACTGCACACAAAAAATACTGTCCATCTTTTTCCCACAGAGCAGCTGATGGCCTCAAACCACCTGTCTTGGGGTTGGCAGCACAATCCCTTACCCACTACACCATCAGAGCTCCCTTGGTTTTGCTTAAGAGCTCTCCTGTTCCCTAAATCCTCTGTTGCACCGAGGACTATTTTTCTTGCTTATGTTCGCTCAGTCTTGCTTTTTCAGTCGTCCTGGTGTCTAGTCATTCCTGGCTGTCCATTCACATTTAATAACAACGCACATGAGTTTAATATTTTTTTAAAAAATTTTACTCTGTGTGTGTGTGTGTGTGTACACCATCAAATTAGAT